GTTTGCTATGATTGTCTGTTTCCAATTCATAACATTCTAATGAGAAAGAATTTTTTTCTTTGTTAATGTTAAAGTCATTTGCATGAATTTACCAGTTGTTAAAACATAAATATTCGAAACCTTGGAAAACTTTTAATAGTTCTTCATCTTCTGCGGAAGAAAAATCAAGCTAAAACTGAGATACTTCCGAAGTATCGATTTGAATAGCGTTGATCATAGCGAATATTGTTTCATAGATAGATTGATAAAATTTTGAAGTCCAAATATTACCACAATGTCTCGTTAGATGTGATCGATACTCTGATGAAGTACTATGTTGGTCGTTACGTGTGTTAGACATATCCAGATTAGAAACGGAAAAGTTATATATGATAAATCATACACAAAGTAATATCAAGATATTATATTATATTTCTCATAATGAAGCTAGATTAAAAAGACATCTTCATTATAGTTCGAAGTATATCTTTCTGTCACAATTAGAATTATTTTTAGCAGGAGAAAAAATAAGCTTGTTTCGAGGAACATTAACTACCAATGAGAACATTAACCGTTCATCGACAAACATTAAATGAATTTTTAAAAGCATGGTAATCAGTTTGATTGATAATCTATTGAGTTTGACTAGAAGAATCTAGAATGGATATCTTTGATCTTAATCATGTGATTAACTCTGTTTTGTGTAAATGATCTATTTTATATAGCTTGTAACAGAGAATCACCTGCACATTGATCCACTCCATCCCCTAGCATTGCTATGTCTAATAGTTCAACAGCAAATTCAACATCACTTTAAGTAGCTTTCTAATCAAGCCTAACATTTTCTTTAAATTTAAGTTCTCCTCTGAAAAAGATTCATTTGATGTTTTATTATTTTGACTGATTTTTGGACCATCAATGAGAGATAAGCGAGTCAGTGTCATTTTTTATTTATTTCAACTGAATTTTTCAAAGAAAGTTTTTTAGTGGCTCATAGAAATGATCGAATTCTTTGAACATAGTAAAATGAACTGTCACTTGAGAGATATGAGCTGGAACGAAATCTTCTCACCGATGATCATGAAGCGAAGAAGAAGAGCCTATTCGAACATTTCAAGCTATTTTGAATTATTCTAAACCATTTAGAACCATTCGAATAGTTTGGAGAGAGTTTTTCTATTGTCATGAGTACAAAGTGTGTTTTTTTTCTTATCAATGCCACTCAAACATAGCCATATATGGACCTGTATATTATTTTGTTTGCTCAAAAGTATAACAGATGGATGCACATGAAATTTTTACTGATAAAAGTATGTATTAATAATTTCTTTTTTTTATAGGCTTTGGTTACATGTATCGATAACTTATCCAGAAACATTTCAATTCATAAAAAAAAAACAATTGTTTCTACTATGAAATTCAATAGACATTGTAACTTTTAGTTCTTAGCGTATTCTTTAGGCGTAGATGCATGATCCTTTCGCATACTGTCTCTTCTACTTAGTTTATTTGTGTTAATAGCAAGAAGGACCTTCAATACGAATGATAATTAAAAAAAAATCATGTTGGTCAGTTTTATTCCTATGTAGATTTATATGCAACGATTTGTATAATGTTCAACGACAAAAGATCTATTTCTCTTCAATTGTTTCTGATGAGGCAATTTAGTGCTTAAGAAAAGTAAACTGAATATTTTCATTCAGACTTTTAAAAAAGATTATTTTGGCTGAGAGAAAAATGCAACAAAATGAGTTTGATTGTTTTGTTGTTTAATGAAGATATTTGTTATTTAGTGAATGGTCATTTTATCGTACTCAATTAAGTCTTCACTACGATACCATCTCTTTTTGTTTAAACTTCTGAGAGTTAACCAAATAAGAGATAACAGTGTATGCACTTTTCGGATATGAAAATCATTGACCTTTTTATCACAATTTTTTCTTGAAGAATTCATTCTGAATCTTAAATATGCTTAGATGTATTGAACTGTGAGTTTTAATTGTATATCACAGCACGTAAACAAAGCTCTTTCTACCTAAAATTTCAAATGTTTTTGACGAAGTTTTAAAATCTTCTGTATTTCTGCAGTTATTCAATGTGCATGTGGAAAAGTTGCACTCAGACTTTTTCATGGTTTTTTTCCACGACTCTCCTATTTATCTCAGTTACATCAGTAGAAATAGTCGGCAAAAATCTATTCTTTTTCTCACCTTTTTGAATCGGTCTCTTTTCTTAAAACGGTATAATAACGTTTCCATTCTCTCATATATACGCATAGATCTGCAAACTGATGCTGTTGTTTGATCAAGAGGTAATAAGGTATATTATATATTGATAAAAGAGAGAAAAGATTATTTTATTTCCTTATTCAGAAATAAATCGTTTACTGAAGGATACAAGAAGAGAAAATAACTTTCGGTTTAAACCATCAATAATGAAATTTATTGTAGCAACTGATTTGTTCAAGTTACTAAATTATCGTTTTATCGATAGTTAAGAGTTAGAAGAATAAAAAATGAAGCTTATGAATATTGGCCATCGAAATTGTAAAAGTAATTTTGACATCGATATCCAAATATGTCTTATTAAAAAGAGATTTCAGCTTATATATAAAAAAAAAGAAGACCATTGAAATCGATAATTTAAATGGAAAAATAAAAAAATTTAGACTAATTTTTTCTGTAACAGAAATTTTTGTTATAATCAGTAATAAGAAAGTCTCATGATTTGGCCAAATAATTGCAAACATGAATAATAATAGTAGTACCTATATTTTAGGTGCAATCATATTAATTGAAATTTATCAGAAAGAATCATAGTAGCATTTTACACAGATATGATTTCGATTTTTCTGAAGTCATCTAAAAAGAATCAGAATGATTCTTGTTATGACATGAGATATTCTAATGAAAAACAAACAAAAAGCATTTATAACGATTTATTAACGAACAAAAGCATATATATTATGTGCATGGTTCACAACCTTTTTCATCATCATCACTATTCTGTGCATCATGATTAGCAGAAACTTTACGTGATCGTAAAGTCTGTTCTACAATTGTTGTCATTTCATCGATTTCATTAATACGACTTCGACAAGATCCTCCAATTTTCTCATTTTGCAAATAGAGTCTTTTTGACCAACCATAAAATCGAAGCGCATTTTCAAGATCTCCATGTGCATTTAAGCGTCCAGCTTTTGTGAAATAAAATTTAGCCATATCGCATGTCATACGTGTTAATAACTCTGCTTCATGATCAAACATTAGAATATACTCCACATATGGAATTGCCCAATTCTTGTGATAAGCAATATTGCCACAGAAAATATAAATTGTACTATATGGATCATTGCCTATTGGATCTGTGAAGACTTCTCTAAAATTTGCAATGATGCTTGGCACTATATGTTCTCCCAAAGATCCAGAAGTAATAAATAAAATACGTTTATCCTTGTATTTTTCAAATGCTGCATAACATGCATTTGGATCAGTGAATGTCAATAGTAAACAAAGTATACCACCAAAACTGACTGGCATCGCTTCATGAGTACGGGTAAGATTGTCATAATCTCGATCATTCAACATTGTCCAAGTTTGATTTCGTGGATCAATATTACTGGAGAAAGATTTTTTTAAATGATGATATCTTTCCGGATCACCAATATAAGCATCAAGCCAGATGATCAGATGATCTGGAGTTTTATAATCATAATCTTCTGGAATTAAAGGCTCTGATAAAGTATCTGCCATCTAAAATATTCATGAAGTTAAAAGCATGCTATTCAGAATAAAGGGTAGTTTCATAAAAAAAAAATAAATATCGACAAAAACCATGAATAAACGTACACTGTTAAAGAGACTTCCAAATTAAAAAAAAAAGTAAACAGCTAAAAAGAAACAATCTGTTTATGTGGTGCGAAAAACGTCACACATCAATAGAATGTAGAATAGAGTTCGAAATTATATTCTAGTCTTGTGAGTGAGTAGAAGATAACTGATAAAAATATTTCTATTTCATCAAAATGTCAGTCTTCTATCAATAGGCAAATGATTTCACGCATACTGACTATATTTTACAACTATGCAAGTAAATAAGTAATGCAAAAGTCAAGGTTTTTTAAGACTCAAAAACATAGACTTCCACACCTTCATCTCACGAAAATACTTTTATTATCCTGTTATACTGTATTGTATTTTACGCATAACGACGTAGAATATTTTCATTACTTATATGATAATGATGCTTTCTTTCTAGGGCCAAATTCTACTCTATAGTATTCATTGAAAACGTTTGCAGTAACATGTAAATTGAATCTAATTACAGTCTGACCTATTTAAAACACTGTTTAAAGAATAGGAAGAAAGTTTTTATAAATGTAAGTTACGTTAAGCGAAAGCGGCAAATACTTTACTTTTTTTTAACTTGGTAAAAACCAAGGAAGATGGAATAGACAACACAAGACCATAGAGAGAAAAAACAAATATTTGTAATGACTGTGTTTTTTTTTTTCATTTGCATTAGACGTCTGTTCTTTACCAATCAGGAAGCCCTATGTGAAATTACAGGAAAATCTTTAAATTATGACCTAAGCAAACTATTGTTTTTTCCAACATGATATGAATCATAAAGGTACACTTTTAATGAAAAATATTGTATTGATTTTTTTCGAATAAAGATCAATATTGACATGAAGCAAATTCATCTGTGTCATGACAAAAAGACGAAATTTATTACTTTCTCAGATTTATTGAGAGTATTTGTTGTCAACATTAAGATTGTTCAATCGTGGAAGAATTGATTCTCAATGATTGTCGAAATTTTTACCTAAATTAATTTTTTCTATTAATCTGGAAATTAAAAGTTTCATGACTAACGAAGGTCAATATTTATAGATGCAATACTTAAAATTATAAAGAAATTTAAAAAAAACAAACAAACACATACATTAACAATGTCACAATATTTTTCGATGAAAATAATTGTTAGTTATACAGAATGTATATAAGTTTGCTACTTATCTAGTCATCTTCGTCGGACGATGATCTTAATTCCTCTTCCACGTCTTCTAGGAGTTGATCGACTTCACCAAGTTCTTTCTTCATCGAGACCTTTTCCATCTTGGTGTATCGATAATAAAGTTCCTTTGTCCAACTAAGACGATGATAAGCAGCTGCATTATTTGGAGGACTTTCATCTAATAGACGTTTACTTTCAGTAAGAAAGTAATCACCAATATCGCGTATCATACGACTTAGTAAATCTGCATCAAAATTGAATATTTGAATATAATCACGGTAATCAAGCGCCCAATCAATTTGAAGTGAAATATCATGACAAAAGACATAAATTGACATATATGGTTCATCAGTGACTGGATCAGTGAATGTTTCTTTAAATCTTTCTATAATAATTGGTACAGCGTCTCTTCCCAATGATCCTGATGTAATAAAAAAAATTCGTTTATCTTGATTTTGTGCAAAACAGTTGATGCAGCTTTCAATATTAGTGAATGCTGCCAGTAAAAAATAAACGCCTTCAAAATCTATTGGCAAAGGACCTTCTACACGAAGTATTTCGTCATAATCTGCATCCACTAATTCCACTGGTATTTCATGTTTGGGATCACTTTTACTTGAAAACGCTTTTTTTAAGTGTTGATATCTACTAGGGTCTCCGATACTAACATCAAGCCAAATAATCATATGAGTTGGATTTTCTTCATATGGAACAGTAGCATCATTAGGCATTTTTATCTAAAATAGATATTTACAATAAAATCATGTATAAGAAAAATTTATTCATTGAAATGATTCACTAGACACTTTATCATCATTATTCCTGTTCAACTTTTTTATTAATTGTTCAGCATATGTGATACGGTCTTCGACATATGTAAGTCGAGTGAAGACTTTTGTCAGAGAAAATTTATTTGCTTGTTCTAAAAGTAGTTTCACCCAATTAAAATAACAAATAGCCGAATAAGCTAGATTTTTATCAAGACATAATTCACCATCACCTTCGGATATAAAATATTCAACGGCATCCCTTAAAAGTCTTACTAAAAGATCGGTATGAAAGTCATACATAATACAATTAATTCCTTTATCTAAACAATCGTCCGCCCATTCCAAATGAGCTTTGTAATACCCTCAAAAGACGTAAATTGTTTTTAAGGATGAATATTTCTGAATAATTTCAGGAGCTATTTCTTTTCCCACTGAACCAGATGTAATAAAAAAAGATTTTCTGGTTATTCAAATTAGCATCGATACAATCAAGACATTTGCTTGATTGACTAAATGCTTTTAAATTTTTGGGAATTTTATCAAAACTTTCTTCGATATTATTTCGAAATTTAATTAAATTATCAATATCACGATCTTCGAGAGACGCTGGTGATGGATTTTCTGGATTTGTTTGTTCACTAACACTACTTTTTAATAGTTTATTTGATTCCAATATACCAATATGTTGATCTAACCAGATAATAATAAATTTTGGTATTGGAACAGGAGTGGCCATATTTAATAAGGTTTCTTATCTAGAAAACAAAACAAAGATAAACTTATTATAATAAAAATATAAAAGCTTTAATTTGATCAATAATTTCATTTTTGTCTTCGAATAAATCGAGGATACAAGAAACTAGATCACCTTATTTTTTTATATTTATTCGTGCTTAAAATATCATAATGTTTTTTGTTTGTTCAGAATATAAATCACACGAATAAATTAAATCGATGATCAATTGTAGAATTTATTATCAAAAATTAATTTGTGCTTACAATTCTTTTCTTTATTGCTATTTTGACAATAAAAATTCAATTTAAAACTTGTATTTTTTATTGCACATTTGAATATTAATCTGAGTTGGTATAACTATTTGTTAATTGTTGATCAGTAGTTGTTTGTATCAAATATAGTATCAATTGAAATAATGATAAATTTAATGTAGAACTTTTGTTTTGAATAATTGCTATTTTTGTGTCAATTTATAAAGAAGCAAACCAGGGAAAAAACCAACGGAACAGAACGAAAGAAAGAAAAACAAAAAGCGTAATAACCACATGAGGAAGGAAGAAAGAAAATTCAAACGGGCTTCTTGTGAAACTTTTGCCAAGTAGCTCTTTTTTCTTAACACTATATGAAATATTCTTACAATAGGCAAATACATACATTAAAAATAGCAAAGAATAAATCGATAAAAAGAAAATTGACGCAGAAGAAAATTGTTGAATTTATAGAGATGGGACCGGTTCATATGTTCATCTTTGAAACCGAACCAATCTCTGACAATTTATTATAAATTAAAGATCTTGTCATTCTTGTTACGATAGTTGTTCAATTTCTTCTGACGCTTGTGTTTGTTGTTTTATTGTTGCGCTAACACGTCTTTTGCTTGTCGTATGAATCCAATATTTCTTTCATAGCCATCTAAGATTACTAAATATGGACGAAATGACGGATTTAATATATCAATTGCACTAGCTGACATATTTGAAGTTCGACCACCTTCAATGCATTTATTCATCCGTTCAAATTCCTGTTCATTCGGACCTTGCTTAATGATATATAGTAATATATGGCATGGCAATCATACAAGTAAATCAATTTCAAGATTATATTAAAATTCATATACCATGCTGTCATTAATTATAATTGACATTTTAATCAAGCAAATATAATAAAAATGTCTGTTTTCATCAATGAAATTGAGATACATCAATTCTAATACCCGCTTTATCATTTCTACTGAAATATTTTACGTCCTTACGTTATATGCAAGAAAAATCTAATCAACATTGCTTTGCATACTAGTACAAAAAAATATACAATGAATCAGCATAAGAATGTGTAGAACTAATATGTAAATTTACTAACTGATCCCAATGACATGAATATGGCTCTTTGTTTTTATCAAAATGTTCTTAAAAATAAATTCTATCCCGTTAGATTGGAAATATTTGTGAATAAAAATGGAGCCATAGTTTCATTGAAAGCACGACTTAGTGAATTTCTTGTAGCTATTAGCCATACTACATCAAGTAAGGAACATTTTTGTAATCATTACATTTTCTCACTGGTCTTATTAATGCATCGAATGAGATAGATCGAAAATGATCAGTCAATCATATGTTCAATATAAATAATATTCTATTAAAAAACTTGTTCCAAATATAGGTAGACACCAATATGTTTTTTCATGTCAGTAATAATATTCAATTATTCTTCCAATGAAGAAATAAAAGAACGCAAAACATTAACAGACGTCATAGTGAAATATGTCAATATTTTTTTGTATTTCATGACGACAAAAAAGAATTTTTTTCAATGAGTAGCCTCTATTTCTTCTCTTTTGCCTTGATTATTGTACAAATACAATCAAACGTAGAAAAAACCAAAAAAAACAAATATCTTTATCTCTATTTAAAGTAAGTTGGTTTCTTACAACTAAGTTATTATTCTATGTCTCATACTTTACCACAAAGAAATCTTCTGATTCGAGAGAATATCAAGAATCAACGAAAAAAAAACGAAATTTCCAACTTTGATTGATGTTGACTGAGTATAAATCAATGTCAATCATCATTAACAACATGCAAATAACTGACAGTTCACAGTATATTTTCCAATTTGTGGGTAACCATTATTGCGTCGTATGAAACAAGTTCAAGTAAACGATACTCAAAACTGAATCCATGAGTCTACATTATATCAACGCCACTTATCGAATAAAAGAGGCACCAGTAGTTGTCGTTGGTTACCGTTACAGAATCATTAAAAAAGAAACAAAAATTTTGTATAGTATCATGTTATAATAGTATTACATTTGTAGATAACTATAATTAACAAAAAATCTATTTAGCTTACTATATTCACATGTTATATTATTTTTTAAAACTATTTATTTCTTTTTCATATTCTTCGCGAATTCTCTAAATATGTCATTTGAAAAAAATTTCGGAATGGCAATGTCATGAGAGTACATTCGACTCGAAACGGATGATTTTGTTAGCAGTTTTGAATTGTTTCACAATGTAGTTATTCAGTTCTTAAGAATGCATAAATATATATTGTGAATTTTGTAATTAAATATTTCATGAGAGCGAATATTCATTTTGAGCTCAGATATGACAAAACAGTATTTTAATTTTTATTATTCTCGAAGATGAAATCATTTCGGGCGTTATGTCTCAGCAATGTGACTTCATAATTAAGAAATTTCTTCAAAAACAAAATTATTTTCTCGCCATTACTATTATGATATCGATATTACTTTCCCATAACATGTTGAATCCTCTTTAAGTTATATTAATTATCATGGTTTTTTTTTCGTTTTATTCACATGCATCAACCGAAAAAAACAATATCATTTCTCCAGACTAATTTATGAAAAGATAGGTTTACCATAGGCAGCAATCTGTTGAAGACAACATGTTGGTTCAATTAGGTTCTATTAGAGTGACTATACCACGATCCTGTTTCTCCATTGAGCAAAAGACTAAAAATTTCGTAGTCCATAAATAAACATGGTTTATATGGTTCGAAATAATATAACATATAAGCAAAAAAATCAAAAAAACATAGTACATCGCTTTATCATATCTTTATAACAACAATAGCCAGTTAGATTAACAGTAACTTCTGTTTAAAAATTAGTCATCTTCATCGGACGATGATTTTGATTCTTCTTCTACCGTTTGAAGAAGTTGACTAACTTCATCAAGCTTTTTCTTCATCGAGACATTTTCCATTTGGCTATATCGTTTATAAAGTATATTTGCCCAATGAAGTCGATAATAAGCAGCTGCAGTATTTGGAGGACTTTCATCTAATAGACGTTTACCTTCAATAAAATAATAATCACCAGCATCATGCACCATACGACTTAATAAATTTGCATCGAAGTCGAAAATTTGAATATAATCACAGTAATCAAGCGCCCAATCACGATCGTCGGCAATATTATTAGAAAAAACATAAATTGACGTGTATGGTTCATCAGTGATTGGATCAGTAAATGTTTTTTTAAATCTTTCTAGAACTATTGGCACAGCTTCTCTTCCCAATGATCCTGATGTAATAAAAAAAATTCGTTTATCTTGATTGTGTTCAAAACAATTGATACAGCTTTCAATATTAGTGAATGCTGCCAATAAAAAATGAACACCTTCGAAATGTATTGGCAAAGGACCTTCTACACTAAGTATTTCGGCATAATCTGCACCCACTAAATCCACTGTTGTTTCACATTGGGGATCCATTTGAGTTGAAAATGTTTTTTTTAAATGTTGATATCTACTAGGATCTCCGATATGTTCATCCAGCCAAATAATCATATGATTTGGATTTTCTTCATATGGTACAATAGCATCATTAGGCATTTTTGTGTAGAATATTTCACGTAGAATTAGTAACAGTAGATCTAAAGCATATCTGTGTTGTAGAATTGTGAAAATACAAATTAACTGTAGGAGGAAGTTTAGTGAGTAGTCACTAAATTTAATCTGGCTGTTGATCTACATATTATCCTAATTTTGTCGATTAGTTCAATAAGTGTTCAAACAAAACTTTTATGATCTTGTTCGAAGTTCTTGAGTGCAGATTACTCATTAGTCACAAGCATAATGTGTGTTAATATCATTATTCTGTAATCAATAAGACAAAAGTTTTTAAATAACTGTAACTATTTTCTAATAAAGAATACTACAAATGAGTTCTGCACTCGTGTCATGAATAATCTATAATCTATTCTTATTAAATTCCATTATTGATGGACAGCAAGCTTTTCTTTTTTATACTATCATTCAATCTGAATTTTATCGAAGTATGTGAACACTTATGAATTCTACCTACAGAGAGGAAGCAAACTTACATTAGACCTGTATTATACAGAAAGTGATTAGCAATGAATTTATAACTATTAACGAATGCCACATTGAAATATGGTACTAAAACGAATGATTGATTGAGAACATATAAATACAGACAAAAATTTCTATATGTTGGTAAAAACATCATACAGGTGAAAAAAAATTAATCGTTGTTGGAAAGTTCCAACCGTTCTGTATGAACGACAAACAGTAATAAAAACTCGTTCTTTTTCTTATTAATATGATACACACATCATTGCATATAAAGGTTGACATGAACTACACAAACTTACATTTTTATGGTCACGTGCCCTTGATAAGAGTCATGACTGAGAGATAACAAGAAAAGAAATCTACGTGTCATATTGGTCAAGTAAATAAAAGAACGTCATAATTTAAATTTCATAACTTTCATGCCTTCAGAATAAAATTTCAGAGTATTCCAAATAATAAGGAGAAGAATTTATAATAAGAACGACAGTGTTCATGATTGCTATCCATTCATTCAACCCCAATAATCATCATATTTAATATTAAATTAAATATAATTGAACCTGTAATTATTTATAGTTTCTAAAATATTAAAAGACTGCTGCATGTGCAAGAGCAATCATTCATCAATAATCAAATTCAAGTTAATTGTGAAAC